TACTTATAATTATTCCAATTCTTGAATATCGTATTCATAATATAGTATTGCCACATAATATATGTAACTCAATTTTAGCACAATACTTGACAACTGTTAAACACAAAGCTAAACTACCAATCACTACACCCAATAGCACTATGTTTAACCATAATATCTATAGCATTAAAAATATATGGGATATCCAACTACAACACCATATCTCCAACTTTCTACTTAGAATTAATGACCAAAACCTTATAGGAAGTAGTACACATATCAGACTTCAACAACTACAAAACAATTTGTAGTCAACAACTAATATCCTACAACACCTTCTGCCAATAATTGATGGACCTAACAAAAATACAACAACATACAAAATTATACAACTCTTTAACCACCTTCAACTTCATATTAATACTCATTCAAACTATCTCCATCTCTATACACTTCAATACTCATACACCCCAATTAAAAAAGTATTAAATACATATAACCTATACATATAATTTAAAAAACAACTACGCTACAAACAAATTATTTATTTAGAACAACTTACATCATATGATAACTCAATCCTACTAGATTGGAAACACATCTTACTATGAATACAACAACTACCTAAAGGCCGTAAGCCCTTGTGGTTCACAACACTAAAAAACAAAATTATTACAAATTTAGATACAAGACAAATAAAACTACTACTAGAGCTAACTAATATAAACTCACTATCATTTACTACTGAACACTTCAAAATTAAACTTAAACTCTGGCTTATTACTTACAATACAGATCAAAATATAATTCTTGGAAAAGCAAGAAGATATAACCAACTGGATGATACTATATTCATTACACACTGAAACATAAAGTTCAATCATCAATATACAAATCTTTACCCTTCACCAAACTATAATTGCACACCATGCACAGAATGTAATTTAAACTCTACTTGCATTCCAAGCAAATATATATTTAATATTGCAGCCAATTCTGGCACTAAATTTATAGGAAGAAAAATATACAACCCTCTCAACAAACTTAACATCTATGCCAACCTATTAGACTTACTATAAATTTAAAATATAGATAGCTTACAATAAACAGTTCTTTTATATTAAATAAACCTTTCTTAAGTTTTTAACAAAATTATAAAACAATCTAGATGAGTTTTAATCACTCTAATATATTTAGATTGCTAATAAATTAGATATAGTTATAATTATCTATTTATAGTCTAAGTCTTGTAAAAATTTGTAATTGAGCTTCGGCTCAAAAGATTCCCTGGAGGATTTTCAATACAAATATAAATAAAGGCAAAACCTTACCTTAAAAAAAAAAAAACAATTTATAAAACAAGTTATTCCGGTTCTGATAATATTAGAATTAGCATTGGTTTAGTAATTTGCTTTGTTTTCTTCATAACTATGATTTTTACACATTGCAAGAAACTTTTGATATTCCAGCAATATGAAAGTAATAGTACTGCGCCGATTTTTACTGACGCGATTTACCAATTAAATAGTAATTAGGCTGTATTAAAACCTTCTAATACTACCGCTACCGGTATTTAATCTAAAAATTCTATTAAATTAAAAGTAATCTAATTATAACAGGTATATATATCGATATGTTTCAAAATTTAATTACAAACCTATTTAATGAAAATCTTTAATATAAACTACGTATCACTTCAACTTTAATCTGTATTATCATTATACTATCTGAAGCTTTGATTAATTAGTCCGATTTTAACATATGTCTTCGTTATACATGTGACCGAAACTATTTCGGCTTATTCGAAACTAGTTACGACATAAGCCGATATAGTTTCGAAAATAAGTGATTATCATCAGTTTTCAGCCCCAATGTTCGATGTATAGATGTTGATCTTATCTACAATAGTGTAACTTAATGTACTGTCTACGATCATGCAAATGACAAGACAATAAGTGGCACAAGTTTAAAATATCATATCAACATATTCCGTTTATCGCACTTACAGTTGAATCGACACCTGTCAAACACAATCTTTAACAACAAATTTTATTCCGACGCGTAAAACTTTATCAGGGATGCGGCGAATAGTGAGAATTTTACTTGTTGGAGATGGTAAGTTCAAGTTATTCGGGGGTCAAAGTTTTCCTATGTTTATGTTGATCGGGTTATGTAAAAATCATTTAAAAGATGGTGTTGGGAAGAGTACTTTAATAACGTCTCTTATAAAGGAGACTTTTGTTCCAAATGTATGTATACTTCTCAATTTCATTTAAGACACGTTTTTTACATGGTTTTTTTTTTTTTTTTTTTAAATATTATATCTAATTCTAATATCAAAATTGAAAGATCCAACACGTCGTCCCGGAAGTCACAATTCCACCAGAAGTCACCCCAGAAAACGTAATTACGCATATTGTCGATTCATCTGGTAAATATACCCATTATTTTCAATTTTCTACTTTCTTGCCTTTAATGCTTGTAATTCAGAAAATTATACCTATTTTTCACGATTTACTGTAACAAGCACGTCCGGAACATCGTGAACAGCTTGAACTAGAGATCAAAAAATCCCACGTTATATGCATTGTCTATTCAGTAGATGATGAACATACTTTTAACCGCCTTGCATCATATTGGTTGCCATATATTAGAGGCCTTGGGGTGAATGTGAGCAAAAGAGGGGAAAAAATAAAAAAAGTTCGAATGTTTTATCATGAATAATCCATTATACCAAATGATCGAATTTAATTTTAATATTCATCAATCCCCGGCTAGGTTCCTGTTGTGTTAGTAGGAAACAAGATCGATCTTCGGGGTGATCATGTAGCTAATCAGTCTCTGGAAGACGAAATAATACCGATTATGAATGAGTTCAAAGTAATTATAAAATTCGGATTCTTGCTTGAAATTTTTACTAGTCGTATTTATTTACCAATTGTGGTATTATAGGAAGTAGAAACATGCGTCGAATGTTCTGCGAAACAGCCATTAAATGTATCCGAAGTTTTTTATTTTGCACAGAAAGCCGTACTTCATCCAACTGCACCCTTGTACGATTCTAGAGAACATGTAAGCCATATCCTAATGGAGTCTTGCGTTAAATTATATTATTCATGCTTATCTATGAATAATTAAATTTAGGTCTTGAAACCGGCATGCATTGATGCACTTAAACGTATTTTCAGTCTTTGTGACATCGATAAAGACGGTGTACTGAATGATAATGAGCTTAATGAATTTCAGGTAGCACTAGTTTGACAGCGTTATTTGTCCCTATTACAAATATCGAACTTCTTTTAATTCGTGTTACTAATTCGTGTTACTGTATGTAGCGGAAATGCTTCAATGCGCCACTTCAACAACAAGAACTTGAAGGCGTCAAAGAGGTTGTAAGGGAGCATGAACCTAGTGGTGTTAATGAAGTGGGCTTGACCGAACTTGGTTTTTTATTTCTTCATACACTTTTTATACAACGAGGTCGGCTAGAAACTACGTGGACAGTTCTGCGAAAATTTGGCTATGGTGATGATTTATCGTTGAGAGAAGACTTCCTCTTCCCTCCGTACGTACATAGTCTTGATTATGTTAAGTCAGTTAACAATGATAGCGTCCATCCTTAATGTTATAGATGTGTTTACAACTACCAGATTCGAGGTTCAACATGATTGTTCCGTGGAATTAAGTCCTAAGGGATATCAATTCTTTGCAGATATATTTCAAGTTTTTGACAAAGTGGGTTTATAAAATAGATCACAAATCATTATCTGGTTATTGTGTTAAAATTGAGTTACATATATTATGTGGCAATACTATATTATGAATACGATATTCAAGAATTGGAATAATTATAAGTA